TGGCCTATTATATCATTTAGAATTAAGATATTTTTTAATTGAACCCTTGTAAATTTTAGCACAATTTAATAAATTATTCTAGAAGCAATTAGGAGATTTTTCATGTAATGCAGATACATTTCAATTAATATTTTATTAATTTTTAATTTTTTAATTTGAAATAATCTCATACATGTAAAAAACTATAAAATACTACAGCATATTATATGTACCCTTCACCCGATTTCTTAGGTGTTAATAATTTAAACATAACCATTATACAACTAACAAAATTTGGAACATATTTTTCTTATAATCTCTTTAATGTTACTTAATCCATTTACTTTGTTTTTGTTAATCTTCACCCAAGGATATTTTTCCATTGAATTTTAGAGAGAGTGAAGGGAAAGGGAGAGACACATTGATTGGTTGCCTCCTGCACATGCTCTGATAGGGACTGGGGATCAAGCCAGCAACTGAAGTACATGCCCTTCACTGGAATTGAACCTGGGACCCTTCAGTCCATGGGCTAATGCTCTATCCACTGAGCAAAACAGGCTGCAGCTTAATTCATTTACTTTTAATCTATATGTGTCTTTATATTTAAAGTGGGTTTTGTTTTTGATTCACCCTCATAATCTGTCTTTTAATTGGTGCATTTATGCCACTGACTTTCAGAGTGCTTACTGATAGAGTTGCTGCCATATCAGGCGGCTTCTGGGGCTTCTGGGGCTGGCCAGCGGCCCGGGATCGAATTCAATCATGGGCGGTAGGCAGGCGGCTTCTGGGGCTTCTAGGGCCGGCCAGCAGCCCGGGATCAGATCTAATCCCAGGTGGCAGGCAGGCGGCTTCTGGGGTCGCACATGGGGGCCTGGATGGCTGCTTGAGCTGTCCTGCCCTGCCCGCAGTATGCAAATTAGCCGCCATCTTTGCTGGTGGTTAATTTGTGTATCACACTAATTAGCCAATGGGAGGCGTAGCGAAGGTATGGTCAATTACCATATTTGTCTATTATTAAATAGGGTGGCATGAAGTTGGCACAGATTATATCAATATTGTCCTGCTTGTGACATCTGTTGGTGTTGTTTTTGAACTGCTTCTATACCATTTTGTACTGGTATTTAACCTGTGTTAACGTCCCTGATGATGGGGGACTGTTCCATAGCTCTGTGTATCCTCATGGGCCCAGGGCAGTCCCTGTCACCTAATAATAGATCCTCAACAATGTTAGTTCAAGTTGACCAAATCATAACATTGTAGGATGAGAAGAAAGTAGAAAAAGCGGCATAACTTTATGCGTCAGCCACACTGAGCAACTTGCATTCCCAGCACCCCTTTGCGTTTTTGCACATGCAGCTGGCTGGTACAGGCCTGGTACAAGGGAGGACTTTGGTGAGTATAGTGAGAGAGGGAGGGAGGGTCTGTGGACTGACAGCAGCCCGGAGTTATGCCTGCATGCAGGAGACTGAAAGTACATATTCAGGCCACTAGGGGGCAAGTCATTGCTGATTAAAGTTAGTACAGGAACCTCTACCCTTAGGGGAGGCTACAGCACAGAGATATTTATAAACCCCCAATACTTTTTAAACAAATGTTTTTGTGTTTTGTTTTGTTTTGGTAAATTTCCATTTCCCGTGTACCACGTATTTTATGAGCCAATTTCTTATGAGCTTACCCTAACTGACCAAGGCAGAAATTATCATCTTTTCTTCAAACCCTCTTGGAAGGGCTCTGAATCTTGCATAATCTAATAACATAGGTTATTAGATTTTTCCAGAAGGAAATTATTGTACATTTGCAAAAGGCTTACACCAATAAATCCAATCAAAGTTAGAGCCGTCCTTCTCAGGCCTTGTAGGTGGGAAAGTATACTGAAGAACAACCTGTGGATATCCATCAACACTTAACATAAACATGCGATTTCATTCACAAATTCTACTGCAATACTCATTCAACTGCCAGTGTATTAGGTGCAAGGATGTTCATGACAGCCTTAACTTTGAAACAGCCTAATTCTCCATGAATATGAGAATAGCTGAGAAAATCACCAAACCTCCATTCAATCAAACATTATACAGTCAATGACAAAGAATAAGTAGTCTCTGCAACAAATAATACTGGAAATATTGGTCTTCCATAAGCATAACAAACAAAAATGAACTTTAACCCTTACCTTGCCCCATACTTAAAAATTAGCTCAAAGTAGATCATATACCTAAATGTAAGAGCTAAAACTATTAAACTTCCAGAAGAAAACAGGAAAAAAAATCTTAGGCAGAGATTTCTCCTCTTAAATTAAAAACTTGTAAATAAAAGTTATATATATCTAAGGTATACATCATGATATTTTGATATAAATATACATTGTGAAATGATTACTGCAGTCAAGCTGATTATTGAAACAAGTAACATGGATGAATTGCAATGCATTATGCTGAGGCCAACACAAAAGGCTACATACTGTATAATTCCATTTATATGGCATTCTGGAAAAGGCAAACTACAGGAATGGAGAGCAGATCAACAGCTACCAGGGATTAGGGTTTTAAGAAAGATCTGACTACAAAGGGAACTTTTGATTGTGATGAAAGTGTTCTTATCTTGATTGGAGTGGTTGTCTACTTTGTCAAAACTCATCAAACTGTATTTTTTTTTAAAGGCAAATTTTATTTTATGTAAATT